CTTCAGGGCCTTCTAGAGGAGTCTGTCTGCCTTTGTTAGCCCTACCCTGTGAATCTCCCTGACTTGCTCTTTCCCATCTGGATATATTCACTGGACAGGCTTGCCCGTGATGGTCCTCTTGTCCATAAGAGGAGCAGGCTACATCTGTATGGCAAAAGGTAGCATCATGCAGTCTCACTTCAAGCTAGGTCTGTGTGAACTAGTCCTGGAACTAGAAGCATCATAACCAGGTTAGAGTATTTCTTCTGCCTCCATCTCTAGATTACAAGCTAGGAATGTGGAGGCTTGGTGAGAGGAGAACAGGCTTGTTTAGAACTCACCTCCTAGGCAAAGGGCAGCCTGCACTGTGCAAGCACAGTGCTACTTCCAATGCCACGTGACCGTGAAAATGAATTAATTGGTGAGGCAGAAGTGTGGAAAACCTAAGTCTATCCAGTTAGTGAATGCTCTGTGTTGTGTATTTGTGGATCAAGTATACAGTACTGACCTTAAAAAACACTGCTGTCAGGTAATGCTCGTGAGTGACAGTGAAGTTACTGAAATAGGTCACCATCTACCAGCCTTTTAGATACATGACACATGGCTACTTAACAAGGGAACAAAAAATAGGTTGCTCTGTAATTTTGAACACTGTACTCAAGGCCTCCTTTTCCTGCCCTCCCTACCTACAGGTGCCTCTTGATGGAACGTGATGCGTTGAGACCAAATTCACCATTGACTGAGCGGCTTATTCGGAAAGCATCAGCTGTTCATGCAATGACTTGAATCTCTGTCATTCAAATGAAATCATGATTAGCACTGTTAATCAATAGCTTCCCATGGAATTAAAGGAATCAAATTGGAGGGAATTATTGCCTTATAAGCCATGCCAGATCTCCTGCTTGCCTGAACTTTGGAATGCTTTTGTTGGTGATTCAGCATTGCTGCTTAACTTCCTGCAGCATCTCCAGTCCTAACAAGAAGTTGGCTTAGTTGTGCCTGGGAAAAGGCAGCAGTAGCAGGAAAAGTAGAGATCTATCAATCTTTGTTTACAACCTGATGAGCCATTGCTTTCTAGAAATGTGGATGGGTTTTATGCTGTTGGGTTGCGGGATAACAGTTTTATGCTGTTTGGGTTGTGGGATAACAGGCTGTCAAATTATTCAGTGCGTTTGCTATTCTCATCCATAAATAGGAAAGGGAGGAAATTTGAACTGTTTTTCACAAAAATACAACATTATGTGGGATATATTAGAGAAGGCTGGGTGGTGCCAGAGTTCTAGGAAATGGACAAGATGACATTAACCCACAGTCACATCTCAGCACAAAATTATGAGCCAAAATCTTGCCCTTTTCTTGGCCTCACAGAACCACTGTTTCTAGTGGAAACAGGACTTGGAAGCATATACATCCCTCAAGTTCTGCCCCATGTGCATAGAATGGTGGGGGGAAGCAGGGATGAGATCTGAACCTGTGGATGCTTGTTGTACTAGACCCACTGGTGGCCTTGTAAGGAGAACCACTAGCCAAATAGTGCTTAAAATCCTGGATTTCTAATATGGTCCTGGGGCAGGTGGGAGAACCAGAACCCTCACAATACCCAGCATGCAGTCTTTTCTTCTTGGTCTGCATGCTGGTCCCAGGATTTGGCTTTCAGTTTTTCAGAGATATTTTACATTGCTGTTTATCTAAGATTTTCTTTTCTTCTGTTACTCTAAAGATTTTTCTTGGGTTTTATATTGCATTTTAATGAGGATTTGAGATTCAGGGTGATTTTTATCCTAATAATGCTGCATATTTTTATAACCGCTCTATCGGTGAGTAATGATAGTGGGGAACGGTAGTTACAGGTCTGTTGCCAATGAATTAAGCCTTGATTTGAATATATTACTGATACATTTAAGAATGAAATTCTTACCATTGTATTGCCCTTTCATTTACAGGGTGTGACTGATGCTCTCCTATAGTCTGTCAATAAATTTAATCCTGTGCTCAGTGTATTACCAGAGAAGTGACTACATACATTTATGGAACTGTGTAGTTTTTGAATATTCAACATGGGGCTTCTTAAGCAGTACTGCAGGGTGAGTCAAGTATACACCCAGCATGGGTGAGGGAATTTTGAATTAAAATGGTAAGGACCAAGTTCAGCAACATTAGACTTCTCAGACCTCCTAGAAAAGTCATTTATACTCCTCTCTGCCACCAGCAAGCAGTCAACAACCACATGGACAACAACAATGGAAAAACAGTGTGGGTGGGTATCTGTCTCTGAAGATAACAGCACACATTAATTCTTTTTTTTGAAGAAATATTCAGCAAAGTTACCCATACCATGCGGACAGAATCTATCTATGATCTCATCACCACAAATAGAGTAAACTGCAGGGTGCTACTCTTATCAACTTAGCTGCAGCTCCCCTCCCAACCTAATGTACCACACCATGAACTCCCACATGCTTGGAAGGGTGACAAAGCAGAAGCTTGAAGCCCAGAGTCCCTAGCTACTGCTGCAGCCACAGCAAAAAGGGGGGTGGAGGTTGGGTGAGAACATGGAGAGCTGCAAATGAACCCAGCCCATGGGCTGCCACTTAGACAGTCATGTGCTAATAATATTAATATTCAAATTGTAAGATTAATTTTCTTGAAGGAGAAAGATAAGAGAATAAATAAATAAATTATAGTACTTTGTTTCTATAAACAAACATTGTTTTACAGGTGGGAGGGTTTCATTGATGTGCAGCAAGGCCTAACACTCTAGCTCTGTTAAACTTGTCAGCAGGAGGGGGGCAGATAAATATAGCTTCAGTAATTACAGCATGTCAGAGCAGCCTCTCTGCACATGTATAGGAGCCCCGTGCTCTTTAGTTAGTGCATGTCAAGACAATCTAATGTGCATTTTCTTAGTACCTCACAATGGAGGGAATTTTTACATGTGCTCTGGGGGTGGGGAGAAGGAGCTTTAATTAGAGTGGCTCTGAGACCTGCTCTAATTGAAGCGCCCAGAGCTTCTCATGTATCAGTGCCCCTGCACTTCACAATGGTGGCAGGGCTGCTTTATCTAAATCTCATTCGATGAGCTTTAGTTCAAGTGCCCCTGCTGCCATTTTGAAGCACGGGAACACTGTTTTGCAAGATGCGGAGGCTGGCTGGAGTGCAGTAATTACCACACTGCAGGAGATGGGATTAATTGAGCCTGCTCTGATGCACTGTAATTACAATCTCCTTCCTTCAGTCTTTCCATTTATGACCAAACTTTCAAATTCCTCTTTCCTCATAATGTGTCTGTGAAAGTCCAACTGTCTCTTTCTGTTGTTAATCAGCAGCTTCCTCCTGCCTTATCTGTTCTTTTTCCACTTCGATGTTGCATACAGGAATGATCTTCTTCTTTCTAATTACCATGCATTCTGTTTTTCTACAGTTGATACTTAAACCCTTCTTTTCACTTTCACTAACAATCATCAGCAAAATCCCCACAGTCCATACCAATCTGACCATGGGTTAAAATTCTTTCCAGAGACAAAATGTGGTGATTGGCCTGACTCTGAGCAGAAGGGCAAGACTCTCTAACCAGAAACCTCCAGGTTCTAGTCCCAGCAGGTGCATGAGTACACCCCAGTTAAAATCCCCAGCCTTGTCTGCAGCCAACACCAAATGTTTCTGACTAAGGTGAAAAAACAAACAAACTTGACATGCGTAGCAACAGGAGGGGAAAAATAATTCTGGCCTGACCCCCGGCAGCAACTAGCAAAGCCCACAAGCATGAGAAATACCCATAGTATAGTATAGGCAGAGCTGCTCCTCTGCTGATGTTGTTCCTGCATCCCTGCTGATGCTTATCCAACCTCTTCTCGGATAATTTCTCCAATGCTGGAGATTCCACAGGTTCCCTAGGCAGTCTACTCCACTGCCTCACTGTTTTTTCACAATGAAGAAATTCTTCCCGATAGTCTATCTAAACCTACTTTGTTACAGTTTCCAACATCCACGTCCTTCTCTCTACACCTGAAGAGAGAAGGTATTTTCCTTCATCTTTATGGCAGCCCTTCAGATATCTGAAATCTGTTATCATGTTCCCTCTTCAGCACCTTCTCCATAAGCTGAGCATGCTTACTTCAGCTTCTTGTGTGGCTTACCTTCCAAGCTCTTTATCTCTTAACTTCTTCATAACCTTTTTAAAATGTGAATCCCAAAACTGTAAGCAATACTCTAGAAGAGTAACCAGTGCCATGTAACCAGTGCCATGTAAAGAGTATCACCTTGTGTGTCTTTACCTAATATTCCTATTGATACAGCATTTGCCTTTTATACAGTAGCATGACACTTTTGCAGTCAAAAGCTAGATTTAAACCTAGTGCAGTCAAGGATTGACACATACCTCATTCAATTAATGGCAAAAAGACTTTAATAACAATACAGTATGTACAAGGTATAAAACTAAATGACAAAAAGACTCCTTTCCCAATATTCAGTAAATGATCTATCACAAAAGTCCTAGGATCAGAAGTGTGTCTCATCAATGCAGGCAGGAAGCAGTTTCTGTCTTTGCAGCCTTCACTGAGCACGGATCCATCACCTAGGAGTGATAAGCTGGGTGCAGAATGATTTCTGTCTCCCCTGGAGTGTACATGTTGCTGACAACTCTATTTCATTCTTATACTGTTGAACTTTATAGCTTTAAAGCATTCCTTCTTGATAATTGATTGATTAAAGTCCAAACAAAGCATGGTAGGAAGGGACCATCACATTACAATTGCTAACTGCTTGGATCCTGTTTTGGATCATCCAGGTGTGAAACTTGTTTTTGCAAATTTCTGATCAGTCTGGAGGTTACACTTCAATCAAATGGGTTGTGCCTTGACAGGGCCAGCCTGTCCTATCCTGCGAAACCTGTGACTACAGCCAAGGGCCCCCCTGTGGCCATGAACACTCCAACGCCACCCCCTCTCCCCTCCCCCCCTGCTGCCACTGCTAGCTTCTGCAGGCACTCGCCACTACCCCCCCGCCACCGACAGCTTCTCTGCGTCAGGGGGCCCCAAATCTATAACTTGCAGGGGGCCCAAAAAACTGTGGGCCAGCCCTGGGTCTTGATTGGCTGAACAGAAAACCTTGGGGCATTGATCACAGGACACTGTCTTTGGGTAGCTGTTTTAACAACAGGGCAGAATCCACAATAGTCTGCACTGGAGACGGTCTATGGAGACATTTACAAAACCCAAGACAGGCATTGAATGCCTGTTCTGAGAAATATTCCTTAATCAAGGGAACATGCATCAGAAAGAAGGATACAGTCACATAAGGCTATGCAGTTATTTATGAATGGTTTAACATAGGATCCAAGCAACTACAGGCCAGTCAGTCTCACCTCCATCCTTGGTAAAGTCTTTGAAAAGATTATTAAGGCTCATATATGAGGGCCCAGCAGGAAAAATTATGGTGAGGGGAAACCAGCCACGGGTTCATAGCAGGCAGATCATGCCTGACTAATCTAGTCTCTTTTTATGACCAGGTTACAAAACACCTGGACGCAGGAATAGGGATAGATATCGTTTACTTAGACTTCAGGAAGGCCTTCGATACGGTATCACACCCCATACTGGTGAACAAATTAAGAGGCTGTGACTTGGATGATTACACAGTCCAGTGGGTGGCAAATTGGCTAGAGGGTCGTACCCAGAAAGTGGTGGTGGACGGGTCGGTATTGACCTGGAAGGACATGGGCAGTGGGGTCCTGCAGGGCTCGGTCCTTGGACTGATACTCTTCAATGTCTTCATCAGCGACTTGGATGAGGGAGAGAAGTGTACTCTGTCCAAGTTTGTGGATGATACAAAACTCTGGGGAGAAGTGGACACGCCGGAGGGCAGGGAACAACTACAGGCAGACCTGGACAGGTTGGACAAATGGGTAGAAAACAATAGAATGTGATTTAACAAGGAGAAATGCGAAGTGCGGCACCTGGGGAGGAAAAATCTCCAGCACATGTACTGCCTAGGAAATGACCTGCTTAGCAGCACAGAAGTGGAAAGGGATCTCAGAGTCCTAGTGGACTCCAAGATGAACATGAGTTGTCAGTGTGACGAAGTCATCAGCAAAGCTAACTGCGCTTTATCATGCATCAGCAGCTGCATGACAAACAGAACCAAGGAGGTGATACTTCCCCTCTATCGGGCGCTGGTCAGACCACAGTTGGAATACTGCGTCCACTTTTGGGCACCACACTCTAAGAGGGATGCAGATAACCTGGAGAAGGTCCAGAGAAGGGCCACTGGTATGGTTAAGGGCTTGCAGGCCAAGCCCTACAAGGAGAGACTAGGGCACCTAGACCTCTCCAGCCTCTGCAAGAGAAGGTTGAGAGGCAACCTTGTGGCTGCCTATAAATTCATCATGGGGGCACAGAAGGGAATTGGTGAGGCTGTACTCACCAAGGTGCCCCTGGGGGTTACAAGAAATAATGACCATAAGCTAGCAGAGAGCAGATTTAGACTGGATGTTAGGAAGAACTTATTTGCAGTTAGAGTGGCCAAAATCTGGAATGGGCTCCCAAGGGAGGTGGTGCTCTCCCCTACCCTGGGGGTCTTCAAGAGGAGGTTGGATAGGCATCTGGCTGGGGTCATCTGAACCCAGCACTCTTTTCTGCCTATGCAGGGGGTCGGATTCAATGATCTACTGAGGTCCCTTCCGACTCTAGCATCTATGAATGTATGAGTAATAAAATATTGGGTACATTTGCAACTAGCACAGGAGATGAAGTCAATTGGGATTGCTCTATTTTCTGTAGTCTCAGTCATATCTTGCATTCTTGTTCAAGATGTATTGTTATTTTAAAGTAGCAAATTGCCCATCAAGAATGATGGGGGGAGAGGGCAGGGACAGAGGTCTGTGTCTGGCCCACTCCCCCC